GGGGGGGGGGGGGGGGGGGGGAATATATATATTTTGACCATTATGCCTTTTGAATGTTAGCTAAATGGCAATGATGAAAAACGAAGATCCTTGTCCAATGTACAAAACTAGGAGTCTTCCTTACAAATTCATACCTAAGGGGAGGCCCCTGGAATGTCACTCAAGTCTATTTGGATTAGGAAGAAAATAATTAAAGAAAGTCAAATAGTAGTAAGTGAATTGAAAAAAGAAGAAAAAATGTTTTCTTGCATATACTCGGTTAGCATAAATATGTACAAGAAAAATTTTTAAAATTGAAAAGTTACAGTAAAACCTTTTTAAATGTCAATATTACCACTGACGTTTTCCGCAAAAATAACGGAACATCTTGAGTATATAGATAATGACCAGGTAGGAGAAAACATGGGTAAAGTGAGAAACCAAATATGCCTCTTCAACTATTACGGGAAACAAAAACTAAAATTTACTAGAAAATTTTGCGGGCATGAGAATTTAGTTTCTAATATTTTTTTATCATTATCATGCTAAACAAACACTAAATAATCTGGATGTTTACTCTTTCATGCACATTCCATCAATCTCTCAAACCAAACAAAGTCTCAAAGAAAAGAGCAACGAAGGCAAAAAGAAAAGAATAATAATATTTAGACTTAAAAATTTGACCTAATTTGCTGATATAATGATATGACTTTATAAGAATTATTAGATCCAACAACAAGTTCTAATGTTTAATGAAGTTTACAATGAATCCAAAAGCCACAATGAAATAGATCAACAAAATATGCAATAAATTAGATAACAATAGCATTGCTCAAAAGAAAATGAAATATGTGCAAAAGAGAAATTGCCAAGAAAAGGAAAAATTCCAGAGGGCATCACAAGTAGAGCAGTGCAAGCTCATAATACAATCAAACAAATTATTGCTAAATGTCTTCTTTCTATCACAACCCTAAAACCCACTGGAGCATAAATGTACCCACAAATGAGGCCAGATCAAAATTCTCTATATGACATTTTTACTCAATTACACTCAATAGTAAATCATCAACCTTATATGAGTGAAAGATCTACATATAAATAATAGTTTTCATGTGAATACATCATGAGTAATCTACCATTGAATAAAATTGGGTGAAAAGTAACAGAGAGGATCTCAAAAAGATCGAATCGAAGGGAAAAGGCTTCATAAGTCGAGCACTGCAAGCATTACAGACAAAAGTATTGCCAGGTTGCCGAGTAAGCACATACACCCAAGTTTACCACCCCATACACTAGCAGACTAAGCGATGGCAGGCAAACCTGAACCTGCCTAAAACCCAAACAACTTGACTGGCCCCCCTCATACTTGATTCAATACTCTTGGAGATGGATGAAAGAAATCAGAAATTCAAATTGCAAGAGCAAAGAAACAGCACAACTACTAGGACTCAGTTTAAAGTTGTTCTGAGTATGAGATATCATTTTTGAAGGGGCAAGTACCCACAAATCTTGAATTAACAAAGATTTAACCAAAGAAAGTATGTTTGCCTCAACCCTATAAATCGAAAAACTTCAAATGAGCCAGAACAACCTGCCAAGACGCAAGCCTACTTGTCAGGGTGAGGAAACCTGATAGCATGTAATGGCAAATGCTCCCCAGATCCCTAATATGACCATATGTATAAACTTCACTACCACATACTAGGAGCAGTGGACTTGCATTTCAATGCTAGCCCATCCAGAAGAGTTGGAACAATGTTGAATATCAGCAGTCAGAATTGAGCCCAAAAACAAAAAATGGAAGTAGTATGCAAGCAAGCACTCAAGTTTTAAGGTAAGTTCTCCGAGAATAAATAAAAGGTGATGAGCCATAAACCTTATTTTCCCCCTTTTTTAAATCTTCCATGTGATGTATATACCTTTCTTAATATCACCAGATATAAATCACTTGTAAGAGAAGGAACATTATATACAAAGCCATCAAGTATCTAAAACATACAGAAGCAATAAGGAATGCAATCGAAGTGTAAAGTGCAAAGTGCAAACCAACATAGTATGATTCAAATAGTAAAAACAAAAGAAATGATTGTGGGGTTTGTAATTCAACGTCTGCAAGATATAACTGGGAGGCAAAGAAACAAAGCACATCTACTGGGGCCAGCTGCAACACAGCTACCAAACCAAGCATCAATCATCAACACCAAAAACAGCAGGATCACATTCGACAATATCAAGAAGAAGCGCAGCAACAACCGATCTATGAAGATATCGGCTATCACTTCCCAGCTACAACCACGATCTCAGGTGCTGTAATTTAATGAATCTAGTATTAGCTTAAAGCTATATTGACAAGTGCATGTCCTTAATGATCCAGTACATGCTACAACAAAAGCTACCAACCTAACAGCTGGGTAATAAAATGGGAAAGGTCAAAACCAACAACTAGAAAAAGTAAGACACTATGTATCTATCACCACATCCAACCTCATGGTGACAATGTTCATCCCAGCAAAGCAGGTTTGACATCAGAATCAGCAAAAGCAAATATCTGTTCCTGCAGATAACTGCATCAACCACGGGTAATGGAATGTGGACTCCACCTCTTTTAAGGTCACCAAAGCTACTAAACCTCCTTTATGAGAGCCCATAATATAAAGTCAGCAAAAATAGAAATGATGATCAGGTCACAAGTCAGAATCCCAACGTGACTGGAGGATGTGAGATTTAATCCTTACCAATCACAACATCAGCAGAGAAAATTTGTAAACCTATTGTCATTGGCAACCAGCAAGAAAATGGTATCAACCAATTGCAACGTAAAACAGCATCAACAGCTGCTACATCATCTCGCCACTCAGCTACATTAACTCTTCCCAGACACAACTAGACAAGGGCAGTGCATGGTACACCATAAGTAAATGGCTCAGTTGTCTAAATTAGCAATAAAAAACATGCAGCCAAAGAAAAACTTCAATTAAAATTGAGAACCTAGCAAAATAAAACAATTAAGAAAATGAGATTCAACCAATCATAAAAACTCCAAAATAAATATCACGACTCATATTCTTGAACACAGAATAGAACAATCCACAGAAACCATAGCATTGAAAACACACACCAGTATTGAGTAAGGATGCATTAAGTACAACAAATAAAATAGTTAACCTTAAATTTAAGCCAGGGGAAATCAGTTGTAGCATTCATCATACTGATGATAACATGGAAAATCTGAATATCTCCTAACTTGAACCGATGCAGCCAGCAGCTAGGGCCTTCATTCCTACAAGACAAAATCCAAGCTAACAACTTTAGCCACCAACTTGAAAATCCAAACAATTATTGAGAGGAGGCTCATGACTCACATCAGCATCAGATTTACGGGGAGATTGGCTTCGAGAGTCAGCAGGTCGGCCACGAGGTGAAACACTGTTTGGAGTAGGAGAACGTTCTTTGCGATTACGCCCACTGGGACTCCCTCCCCTAGAGGGAGGTGGAGATGGGCTCCTACGAGGACTGGGGCTGCGCCGAGCAGGAGAGGCACTTGAAAATACCCAACATCAGCAAACATATTACAAGTTAAATGTAGGAAAACTTGCAAAGAGAGAAAAACTGAAAAAGAAGTGAGAAAAAATCAATACCTCCCATATGACCGACTCCGACTACGCCTCTTATCATCATATCTGCCTCTCCCACGATCTTTGTGATAATCAGGACTTCCACTGTGGCTCCTGCTTCGATAATGGTCCCTTTCCTTTCCCCGGTGTCTGTCACGGTCATATCTTCCCCTACTTCTACTGCGACTTCTCTTCCTAGAATCTCTGTCCCTGTGCTCATCCCTATACCTGGAATTGTTTAAAAAACAAAAGATAGTGTTTGACAACTATACAATTAAATGATTTCTTACAAAGTAAAAGGCAATTAGTGAGCATATATCAATATTAACACACAGAAGAAAGTATAATCCTGACTTCTGCGAATATCGAACGTCAAAAACTTAGGGAGACATACAAAAAATAAGATGAATAAAACATAATTAAAGGAATGTGTAACAAACAGGTACTCAATGAGGTTCACTACTAAATCTTAGGACCATTTGGAGATAAAAAATATAACAAGACAGAATGAATCCAAAAAATAATCTGCTCATTGGGAGAATCTATGAAGCATGGACACTCTCGAGAACATGACGTATCCGTGTCGGACACCGACACTCTAGGACACGTGTCCGATACTCTTTTATCCGTGTCCATAATTAAATAACTTATTAATTTCAAACACGTGTCGGACACTTCTTTAGAATGTGTCTACTACTAAACAATAGACATTTGTTGAAATGTGATTAACAAACCTTAAAAATTTGAGAACATATAATTATTAATACTAGATATATTAAAGTTGTACTCTAAATATAATAATAAAACAAAAGATGCATAAAAGTTTTAAAACAAAAGAATTGAAAAAATGAAAGCAATTATTTAAATTATATATTTGGTACACAATGCCTATAAAAAAATTGATGATTATTGACTATAATANCAGCAGCTAGGGCCTTCATTCCTACAAGACAAAATCCAAGCTAACAACTTTAGCCACCAACTTGAAAATCCAAACAATTATTGAGAGGAGGCTCATGACTCACATCAGCATCAGATTTACGGGGAGATTGGCTTCGAGAGTCAGCAGGTCGGCCACGAGGTGAAACACTGTTTGGAGTAGGAGAACGTTCTTTGCGATTACGCCCACTGGGACTCCCTCCCCTAGAGGGAGGTGGAGATGGGCTCCTACGAGGACTGGGGCTGCGCCGAGCAGGAGAGGCACTTGAAAATACCCAACATCAGCAAACATATTACAAGTTAAATGTAGGAAAACTTGCAAAGAGAGAAAAACTGAAAAAGAAGTGAGAAAAAATCAATACCTCCCATATGACCGACTCCGACTACGCCTCTTATCATCATATCTGCCTCTCCCACGATCTTTGTGATAATCAGGACTTCCACTGTGGCTCCTGCTTCGATAATGGTCCCTTTCCTTTCCCCGGTGTCTGTCACGGTCATATCTTCCCCTACTTCTACTGCGACTTCTCTTCCTAGAATCTCTGTCCCTGTGCTCATCCCTATACCTGGAATTGTTTAAAAAACAAAAGATAGTGTTTGACAACTATACAATTAAATGATTTCTTACAAAGTAAAAGGCAATTAGTGAGCATATATCAATATTAACACACAGAAGAAAGTATAATCCTGACTTCTGCGAATATCGAACGTCAAAAACTTAGGGAGACATACAAAAAATAAGATGAATAAAACATAATTAAAGGAATGTGTAACAAACAGGTACTCAATGAGGTTCACTACTAAATCTTAGGACCATTTGGAGATAAAAAATATAACAAGACAGAATGAATCCAAAAAATAATCTGCTCATTGGGAGAATCTATGAAGCATGGACACTCTCGAGAACATGACGTATCCGTGTCGGACACCGACACTCTAGGACACGTGTCCGATACTCTTTTATCCGTGTCCATAATTAAATAACTTATTAATTTCAAACACGTGTCGGACACTTCTTTAGAATGTGTCTACTACTAAACAATAGACATTTGTTGAAATGTGATTAACAAACCTTAAAAATTTGAGAACATATAATTATTAATACTAGATATATTAAAGTTGTACTCTAAATATAATAATAAAACAAAAGATGCATAAAAGTTTTAAAACAAAAGAATTGAAAAAATGAAAGCAATTATTTAAATTATATATTTGGTACACAATGCCTATAAAAAAATTGATGATTATTGACTATAATAAGGATGTTTTAGTCTAAAAATTCACACAGATGACTAGACATTAGGTTTTCTTATCATAAAATACTGATTTTTTTATGAATTATATATTATTACTATATTTGCAATAAATTATATATTGTTATATATATAATATAATTTTTTTGTAACGTGTCTGTATCCTATTTTTTTGAGAAATATCGTGTCAGCGTGTCCGTGTCATGTTGTATCCATGTCTCGTGTCCGTGTCCATGCCTCTTAGGGGAGAATAATAAAAAAGAGGTACATACAAAAGAGAGTGCCTACATGTTGGTGATCAACAAGGAGTAGACATGCCTACAGAGATCCTCAACACACGATGATTTGAGTTTTTAACAAAAACAAAAAGTGTAAAAAGATTGTAATGTGATGTAATGCAGCTCAAAGGGCAAGGTTTTGCAGGCCTTAACTTCATTAGGACAAATACAATAACAACATTCAACAAAACAAGGTAAAATACAAAACATATTTAAAACAGCCATTATCACATCCTCCGTATATCAGTGTTCCATTGGATTGGAAAGCTTCACAAATGAAACAAAGAACTGTTTTGGAGACTACCTGCTTCATTTTCCAGAGCATAAGCATTTCTGCACAGAAGAATCATTACCTTGGCCGAGGACTGCGGCTCCTTGACCTCCCTTTTGACTTCGAATCTGATTCAACTATCCTGCCTTTATGGCTGAAAACCAAAACCATTTGTAACTTAGTTGGAAAGCTCCACAAGTTCTTGAGCAAAACCCACAAACTATAAAAACAAAGCATTGGGGTACAAACCATGCCACAATATACATAATATATTTGTACTCACGGTCCAAATTATTACATTCTTCCCAAAAGTCCAAATTATTACATTCTTGAACACACAGAAAACATAACATTTGCATAACAACTAAAGCCACGAATTAAAATCAATAACCGATACACTGACAGTCAATTACTCTATAGATGGATATATGTAGCATTGTGTATGATAAGCAACTCACATTTTTTCAGCATTCGGTCCATACTTTGCGAATTGAACCATGATCTCTCTCCCATCAACAAGTCGTCCTGGCAAATTAACCCAAATATATAAGCAACAAAACTTCGCATTACAACAATGATTTGGGAACTGTGATATGATTTACAAGTTCATAACTTGCCAGTACATAAGCAACACTATTTTTCTTTACAACAATGTTTTGGTTATCGAGAAATAAATTACTAGTTTGGAACTGGCAAAAAATAAGTAACACAACTCCACATTACAACAATGGCCTTTTAGTATCGCAACATGGATTACGAGTTCATAACTTTCCCATTAATAAGCAACACAACTTGTCATTGCAAAGCTATCTGAGAAACTAACCATCGAGCTTCTCGACCGCCTTCTGAGCCTCGTCCGCATATTTATAACGAACAAATGCAAAGCCCCTCGAATCACCAGTCCTGAAATCAGAATATAAATCACACATAAGTATGATATATAAAAAAATACCCACAAAAACTGGGGCACGAAAAAGCAAGAAAAAAAAAAACCATAAACCTTCTGTCTCTGGGAATGAAAACATCAACGACCTTGCCATACTTGTCGAAAAGGGGATACAAATCATCTGCGGAGGTTCCTACAGAAAACCAGTAAACAGAATGTTTTAAAAAACGGGGAAAACAAAAACAGAATGTTTCGAAAATCAGTGAAAGCAGAAGAGAATGGAAGAGAAAGGGGAAGAAGAGCCCCAGGTAATTACGGAAAGTGATGTTGAGGACAAGGAGAGAGTAGGTATCTTTGATGTCAGGAGGACCGGATCTTCCAAAGTGCGACATCTTCTCTTTCCGGGATTGAGAATCGGAGCGCCGATGGAAAACTGGTTTAGGGTTTCGGATTTGAGGTGGAAGTGGCTGAGTAGGTTGTCTAGTCTAAGTCTAGATAACTTGGACAAATAAACTTTTTGAGGGTAAAAAGCGTAAGGGAGAATTTCAATTTTGACCCCAAAAAAATTAAGAATTTTTAATTTATACCTTTAAAAATTAAAATTTTCACAATATACTTTTAATATATATATACTTTTTTGTTTTGCCGAACTCCTTGCTAGCGATATACCTTCGATGTATTAAAATTTTTTCAACTTGACTTTTTCATTGACCATTTCGTTAATGTCAATAAAGTAATTTTTGATGGAATAAATAATAAAAGTTAATAGAATGGACATATTATAATATTTTTAATAAATTAGGGATAAAATATAAAAAATTTAATTTTTAAAGGTACAAAAGGAGAATTTTAAAATCTATATAATTTCTCCAAAAATTAAATAACACCTCATTTCTTGTTATCTCTTTTTTTTCTTATGACGCAACTTGAATTATTGGTTTAAATTTCAAATTAAATTGCAACCGTTGATTTTTGTTCAATTTTTTTAGAGCAAGATCAAAAAAGTGAATTGTGCTCAACTGGATGGAAAAACGTATACCTCTTCAAATTGTGGGATCTCATTTTTATCCTTATTTTTTGTGAAAAAATTAGCAATTAAAAAAATATAAAGTTAAACCAATAGTTAATGTTCAACAAGAGAAAGTGGACAGTAAAATTTCTGCCTAATGTTGTCTATTTTTTGTATTGTTTTACTGACCGATGAGATTAAGTTATGACTGATTGAGGTTCACTTTGAAATTGATCTTAAAAACTCAACATCTTAAAAGTTTAGAATAAATCTCAAAAATTTTGAGTCACGACAAGTCATAACTAGACCTCATTAGCACAATATGCTAGGTTTTTTCCTAGAATATATAAGGGTGACAACAAGAAATCAAACCTATTTGGTTTGTTGTTTTTTGAAAAATATTTTTGAATATATATATTTTTTTTAAACTAGGCTGAATTTTGAGAACATGATTTACATGTTTTCCCGCTTTTTAAACAAAAATTTTGAAAACACAGAAAACACACTATGTTTTAATGACATTTGATCGTCGAATTTTGCCCGAAGAATTTTCACCCATTTTTGAGTCGTCAATTCAATGGACTACATCTCTCTCGCAATTCACCTTCTCTCTCTCCCTTTGTACTTGAGCTTGAGCTTCACTATGAAGTCTTTCGAATGCAACAGATCCATATATGTACATTCTTAACATAGATTTGAATAAAGATCTATGTGTGTGTATAAATATATATTGTGCTATATGTGTGCGTTGTGTGCCACGGATGTGTTTGTTGAACGATGTGAGGGTGTACTGTGTAAGTGTGTGGGTTGTGCGCATGTGTGTGGGTATGTGTTTGGTGTGCGCGTGTGTGTGTTTGATGTGCGAGTGTGTGGGTGGAGATTGAGAAGAGATAATGGATGAGAGAGAGAGAGGGAGAAAGGGAAAGGCATAGAGATTGGACTGGAGAGAGAAGGGCGGCACGAGTGACAAGATGAGGGGGGATTATGGATCATTTTCTAAACAGATTTTTTTATTTTTTATTCTTTAAAATTATTTTCAAAAACATATAACTAAACATGTTTTATATATATAAAGATATCAAAACACATTTTTTTAAAAAAAATTTTAAAAATTATTTTTAAATACTATTTTTTAAAATACAATCCAAAAACACCCAAATTCCTAATCAGTCCATCAAACACAAGTAGATTGGATTTTCCATCAAAATATGGGCATAGTCCAGAGACACCTTCCTTATGGCAGAACAGAGCTCTCTTATTGAAGAAAGAGAGCCTTATTCCTCAATGATATCCTATTATAAATAAAATCACAAGTAAAATAATAATACAACGAAATAAAAAAAAAATACAAAGATTTACGTGGTTCGGCTCAACAAACAAGCCTACATTCACGAACGAAACACAACGTCAAAATTTCACTATTGAAAGGTTGGAGATTATAACGTTCTTAGAATAAATCAAAGAGAAAAATATACATCTCTTCTATTCCAATAATAAAATATTTATTGGATTTAACAAAATAGAGCAATATCAATTTATTACACACAAAGAAAACTCTTGTACCATCGTCAATGGCCAACCACTAACTCACTGGAGAAGACATCTTTTTTATCTAACTTCTGGACTAAGGAATTTGATTCCTTCACAAAGTTTTTATGCTAAGAAGGTCTCACATGTAGGACAAAAAATTAAAGACTCCTTGAAGGTTTTGAGTTTAAACAACAAAAGTCCATGTTGGACTAAACTCCACTAAAATAATAAAACCAAGATAATCCTAATTAAGATAAAACTTGTCTATCAAATACTCCAATGAAAACTCATGTCTTCAATTAGAGTTCATATAAAAAACAATTGACTTGAATACAAGTCATCACAACAAATCTCCACCTTGACTTGTATTCCATCTATTCATCCAACCAATGTGAACTTGGTCGCTGCTTTCGTCAAATACCCTGAAAGGTACACTCAAATAGTGTAGACACCAATCAAGTCCAAGCAATGCTTGAACTTGAACACCGGTACCGGCTTAGTAAATATATCTACTGGGTTCTCCGCTGTAGCAACCTTTTTCACTGTGACAATACCTTGAGTCATAACTTCACGAAGAAAGTGATACTTAACGTCAATGTGCTTGGTCCTTTCATGATACATCTAATTTTTGGTCAAATGTATTACACTTTGACTATCACAAAACACATTAGTTACCTCTTTTTCCAAGTCCAAATCACATATCAAACCTCTTAACCAAATTACTTATTTAACTGCCTTTGATACTGCTATGTATTATGCCTTTGTGGTAGACAAAGCAACTGTAGACTGTAGGATCGCCCTCCAACTTACAGTGCACCAAAATAAAGTAAAAATATAACCTATCAGAGATCTCTTTTTATCTAGATCACCCGCATAATCCGAATCAACAAAACCAACAACTGTAGAATCGATGTCATCTCTTCTACCAAATACTAAGCCAACATCTATAGTGCCTCTCAAATAACGAAGTATCTATTTCACAGCCTACCAATGAACCTTCCCAGGATTAGCCATGTAACGGCTAACCACACTAACTGCCTGTGAAATATCTGGACGAGTGCAAATCATAGCATATATGATGCTTCCAACTGCACTAGAATAAGGAACACGAGACATAAATTGCTCATCATTCTCACTCTGTGGTGATAAAGCTACTAAAAGCCTAAAGTGAGCGGCAAGTGAAGTACTCACGGGCTTCGAATTCTGCATCCCAAACCGCTCAATAACTTTCTCAATATATTTCTTTTGAGATAAATATAACATACCTGCTCTTCTATCCCTGTGAATCTCCATACCCAAAATTTTATTTGCAGCACCCAAATCTTTTATCTCAAATTCTGAGATCAACTATTTCTTCAACCTGTTAATCTTTAACATGCTCTTAGCAGCAATAAGCATGTCATCCACATAAAACAATAAATATATCAAAGAACCATCTGACAACTGTTTGTGATACACACAATTATCATAATTACTTTTAGAATAACCATGATCTACCATAAAGGTGTCAAAATGTTTGTACCACTGCCTTGGAGACTGTTTCAAACCATATAATGATTTCTTCAACAAGCAAACATGATCTTCTTTATCTTGAACAATAAATCCCTCTGGTTGATGCATGTAAATAGTTTCATCTAACTCACCATGTAGAAAAGTTGTCTTTACATCAAGTTGCTCAAGCTCAAGATTGAGTGAAGCAACCATGACAAACAATACACGAATAGAGCTATGTTTTACCATTGGTGAGAAAACTTCATTGAAGTCCACACCCTTTCTCTGACTGTAGCCTTTTGCAACTAACCGTGCCTTGTACCTTACAAATTCAATCCCTAGGATTCCCTCCTTTTTCTTGAAGACCCATTTGCAACCAAAAGTCTCCATGCCCTTAGACAACTTCATTAATTCCCAAGTCTGGTTCTTATGAAGAAATTCAATTTTCTCAGCTATAGCAACAACCCAATGTGCAGACTCTTTACCTGTGATAACTTCTAATTATGTGGAAGACTCTTGAACACCAAACCCATCTGCTATAGTCAGTGCATAAGCCACCAAGTTTGCATACCTATATTTTTGAGGGGGTCTAATTTGCCTCCTCTCCCTGCCTGTTGCAATACTATACTCTTGTTGCTCCTGTGGATCATCATCTGAACTAGAAGCAGGCAAATCTGAAATAGATTGAACTGGAGTACTTTCAAGTACATTCTGTGAAGCTTCTATCTGTAGCTCCACCTCCTTGCTGTAATCTTGTTCTTTCCTTGTAGAAACTACAAACTTTTTTCTCGGATGAAACATGGAAGATTCATCAAATACAACATCCCTACTGACTATAAACTTAGGTGATTTAGGATCAGAACACTATAATCTATATCCTTTCACACCATTAACATAACCAATAAATATGCACTTCTTAGCCCTAGGCTTAAGTTCACCATCATTCACATGACAATAAGCAATGCAACCAAATATTTTTAAATCAGAATAATCAGCAAGAGTACCAGATTATGCCTCATGTGGAGTCTTCAACTCAATAGCAGTGGATGGAGAACGATTAACCAAATAACAAGCAGTGCTGACAGCCTCAGCCCAAAAATCTTTATACAATTCTACATTGGAGAGCATACAACGTGCTCTCTTCAAAAGAGTTCTGTTCATCCTCTCTGCAACCCCATTTTGCTGTGGAGTAGACCAGACAGTACGAAGTCTAACAATGCCTTCATCTTTGCAAAACTCATTACATTCACCTCCACAAAATTTCAAATCATTATCTGTTCTAAGACGCTTGACTTTCTTGCTTGTCTGTTTCTTAATCAAAGTTTTTCATTGCTTGAAAGTCCCAAAAATATCACTCTTGCG